CAGGTATAACTGGAAATAATTTAATCTGTTGTTAAAAACTGAATGTGCTATTTTTCCAACTACTGTTCTATTATTTATCTTCCCACCCATGTCATGTGACAGGATAAGGATCCTCTTTAATTTGCAATTCAAGAAGCAGAGGTGATGTTAAGTGCAGGAAGTTAGTAGCAGAACTAAAATTAGAACTTGGGAGTCCATGAATCCTGGTCTTGGGCTGGGTCCACAGCATCACAGACTTTTTTCTATCAGCAACATGTTCAGTTTGCATAGTCCAGACAAAATACAAGATCTAGGCCTCATGCTGAGAAGGTAGCATAGAGGGACAGCAGCAGGTGCAAAATGCCTTGTTTCCCTTTGGCTGCTTGCAGTGGTGGCCTCCAGTGCTTGCATCAACTGAAATAGGACCAAGGATTTGGAAGTGCAAAGACTGCTACTAGGGATCCTCGGGAAGTCCTGGGATGAGAGAGCCTACAGGAAGGAGCTTGGCTGTGAGGAAATGTCTGGGTATGTAGCTTTGAAGCCATAATTCTTCCTATACCTAGTTGGTGCAAGGGTTTAATTATACATTTCCTTTGAGCAGGGATCATGGGCTGCAGATCACGGTATGATAGCGGTGGTTAATCCTTACATAAAAGCAAGCACAGCCCTGTGCTGTGCAGACCATGGCCCGGGCTGGGGCTGAAAAGCAGCTTGCTTGAGAGAGCTGTTAAGAAGACGGGATGATGGCACGGCTTTGCCTTGGTGGTGGACGGGAGGAAGTCGTATTGGTAACAGGGGGAGCTCCTCTTACCTTACCCCCGCCTTCCCTGTCTGGCACAGCCCTCGCGCAGCCGGGCCGGCCGTGTCCGGAGGAGGACGAGTCGGGGGGTGGGAAAACCCGGGCAGAGCCGCTCCCTCCCCGGGGCGCTCGGCCGGTGCTGCCCGCCTGCCCCGGGGCCGCCAGGGGGGAGCGGGACCGGGACCGGCCTTGCTGTCTCTGCTGTGCCCCTCGCCCCGCCGCGGGCTGGCGCTCGCTGCCTCCTCCCGGGGCACGAGGACGGGGCCGCCGCTCGCCCAGCCCGGGACGCACCTCCCATGCGGGGACCTGGGCGGAGGCTCCGGCTGCACCGCGCGGGGTAGGC